CAGCTGCTTTCAGGACGGTCCGATGAGTTGGCCGTTCAAGAGTCCCTGGCTCTCAGTGTTCAGTGCGCAGGCTCTGTGTCCAACATGGGCCAACGCCTGCTTGCTCGCTCCCGTCAGGTTGAATCATTGATGGCAGAGGTGGAAAATCTCAAGCAGGAGATCAAACAGCTTAAGCACGAGAATAGAAGTTTGCACGTGCTTGCCAATAATTATTCGACAGGCATGAAGAGGAAGCTTGATGAGATGCAAGAATCTCAAGGTCGAATGCAAAGTGACCGTCAAAGGCTTGCGTCTTTCTTCCAGAGGCACCTTTTTCCTGGGTCATCCAGCGTTCCGCCAAGTATTGAGGCCTCGAATGCTCTATCTCCGATGCCTCTTGCTCCGATGCCTCCTGCTCCGATGCCTCCTGCTCCGAGAGTGTTGCCACGTAGTGGGGCTTCACGTACACAACCTTTATGAAGGCTACATTCTTTTAGTTTATTTTATTTTTTTTTTAATCAAACGGCATGGAATTGATCTTTGAATGGAAGGTGATACTTGAAATGATCCGGTAATGGTTTAAATTCAAGATTGGATGCCTGAATCATTAACAACATGTTAGTATAAAAGAAAATTGAAATTGGAGGAGGTGGCTTACTTATGTGATCCAATAAGAACTCAAGAATAAACACCCCTTCTTTGAACGTTTCAGGGACTTTGCACTTGGTCAGATTTGATGTGAGGATTGGTCCTTGTCTTGTGTCATAAAATTCAACTTCTTTGGGGTTGTTTATCTCAAGAACGTCCTCTTTGATGAATTCATGATATTCCCTACTTTTCACCTTTGGAAGGGCTTCCAAGGTGTCTTTTTCACTTTCTTCTTCCTTAGAATTCATGAACCTGCAAGGAATAGGGATATTAGGTGGAATGGGGTTAGAACTAATTAAATTTGGAACAACCTTACTTAAATTAGATGGCGTAGGAGCAATAGGTGCCTCCGGCAAAGGTGTTTCCACTCTTGCCGTGGGTTGGGTGTATTCCTCTTCCTTGTGATTTGATTTTGATGGTTGAGGGTCCGTTCCAACCTCCTTGCTACTTCTCAAGATGATTTCCTTGGCAATTTCAAATCCTTCCTTCGGATTTGCAATGGTTGAAATAGGGAGTTTGCCTTGGTCTTGAAATTGTCTTACGAACTCCGCGATCTGCCCAATTTGCTTTTCCAAGTAGTCCAACCTTTTGTCTTGATTTTCCCTCTCCTTGTTTTGAGTTTGGATTCCCTGCGTCAAAGTAGTAAGTACTTGAAAACTCGTATCATTATCATTTGAATTACCTTCATTACTTTGGGCAGGTTGTGGTGGCTGTATAGGCGTTGTATAGAACTCCTCATATGGTTGCCAATATTCTCCTTGTTGAGCCTCCTCAAGTTGGTTTTGTGAGCCCTGCACCAAACAAATTAATTCATTAAGCTTTTGATTATAATCTATTGACGAACTTGAGTTTGGTTGGGCATATTGAATATGAGGTGGCTGCCAATATCCTTCTTGTTGAACATTTTGAGGTTCCCACCACATAGAAGTTGAATGATCACTCCAATCCGAATTGTAAGTATTGGAAAACACGTTATTCCTTGATTGAAGATCAAATATATCAACGCTTTGCATTTGGGACCTTTCCATGAGCTGTGACAAAAGAGAAGCATTATCAAGTGCCATGTTGTGCTTCTCTAGTACTTGAAATCAACAAACAAAATACAAATAAAAAACTAAAACTAAAATACATAACAGAAACGAACAATCCAAGAGATTAGCAAATTTGCTAATCCCCGGCAACGGCACCAAAATTTGATGCGAGAATTATACGCACACAAATTAAACCCTCTTTTTATCAATTGTAGTATAAGTATAAGTAGGGATCGTTCTTAACCGGGGATTAGGAGGGATTGCAAAATCACTTGGAAACTGACTCAAAAACGTAAAATAAAGTTTAAAACACTAAACTAGACTCAAAGAATGCAAAACTAAACACTTAAAACACTAAAACAAACCAAAAGACTCAAACAGCACCCAAAACACTCAAAACTGCCTTAAAAACACTTTCTGAGCAGTTTTGAGCACTTTGACTACTTTGGACGAAATTGAGTAATAAAATGAATCAAAACACTTAGAAACACAAACTAAGACACTTTCTAACTAAGTTGGACACTAAAGCAAAGGGGGATTGAGTTTTTGACGAATTTGAAAACAAAACTTAAAACTTTGTAAAACGAACAGATTTTAAAACGAATTTGGATTTAATGAATGGAATGGAAGCTAGCTAAGGGGTTCATCTCCACACATGTTACACTTGCATATAAAACGATTTCCAATTGCTTTTCAATAACTATGACGCTCAACACCCCAAGTTAACCGTGATGCACTAATTAACTCTCAAATTTTCCTTATGTTATTGAATTGGATGATGCATGCGACAATTCAAATCATTCTCCAATAGTTCTCAACATGAATGCATAGAAGAGATACAATGAGAGATCATTATGCTCTATGAAAATTATAAGTGTTGACGAGGCATTCGTTACTATGATTGCATGAAACTTATGCCAAGAATTCGTTTAACGCGATTGTTTATAAGCAACCTCCACTACTTGTGAATATAAGTTCGTAACTATTAGGTGAAACTCACTTATATTGTAGCGTCATATTCATGCATGAAAATTAAGCGTGTACTCTCAATAAACATACATAAATAAGTTATCAATCAAACAGTTAAACAAATTGAATCCACAACTTATGAAACGCAATTTGAAGTAATCAAATCAAAATGCAAGCATAAACATATATTTCGAATCCCCCCCTAGCCAAGGGGGGGTTTAGTTCCTCATTCGTACAAAACAAAGAGAATTGAAATTAAACATTGAATTCAAAGGAAAAGAAACACCTAAACATTCCAACAACTCAAACTTGAATTGTATGAACGTTTAGGCCCGCTTCTCTTCCTCTTTGTCGTAGCACAAGGTCTAAGGTTAGTTTGATGGTGTGAATGGTTTGGGGAGTGGTGAAAATGGAAGGGGGAGGCCACGGCAATGGGATGATTTTTGGTGGTGTTTGGATTGGTAGGGAGACTCACGGCACAAAGGGCTCTCTTTGGTGAATTTCTGAAAATGGAAGAATGAATGAATGAGAATGAATGCAATAGATGCTTATTTATAGGTGAATGAAGGAAGAAAAGAGGGAATATGACAGCTAGGTTGTGATGATGAATGCATGTGCAAAGTTGGTTGAATGATTATGGGTGCATGTGGCTGATTTATATGAAGGGAATGCATGTGAGTGACAGCTAGATATGTTGATGAATGCATGTGGAATGAATGTGTGAATGATGGCCGATTGTGTATGTGAATGATTAAGGTGAATGTGCATGTGCTTTGACAGCTAGGTTGAATAAATTAAAGGGAGTGCAGGTGGCTTGGCTGGAATGATTGGAATGCAATCTGAAATGGGATGTGTTGGTGTGAATTTCTAGTACAAAGGGCCTCCTTTGGTCTTCAATTTCGTCCATCTACTTGGCTTCAAGTATATGCAATCCATTTAACGCCCCAAACTACTCCAAAATGCACCAAAATGCACCATTTTGCATACTTTGCCCTTAGAACCTGAAAACACACAAAAGAAGCATAAAGGACTAAAATAACTAAAGAAACATAACGTAAATGCACGAGAACAAGCCATTTAAGTCGCATGAATATGCTCCTATCACCTGCCGCAGCAATCAGAGCTGATGCTTTCCTTGCTACATCCGCTGAATCATCCTTGGTCTCTGCACCGAAAGCTCGAGGTTTGTTGAAGCAAGGGTCACATGTCTTATCTTAGTTCTTAGGATACCCCAATCAGCTCGAAGCATCGGCTTTTGGAATGTCCCGTCATACCACAATGAGGACAATTACCCTGAGGATAATCAAGACGGGATAGCTAGTTTTTGGATGTCCACTTTTATTCTCAGACCCATCTCGGTAGGTGCGGTTGGAGGGGCCGCAGGCTTTGGCTACCATTGCAACTGGTTATGAGCTTTAGCCCTCCATCTTCATAGCTTCCTTACGATCTGCTTCACGATGGACATACGCATAAGCAGCCTGAAGTCCAAGTGGTGGGTCTTTGCACAGTATTTCTCCACGAACCTGATCAAACCCATCATCAAGTCCACCAAGAAACAAATATAACCTTTGTCGCTCGGTTGTCTTCTGGAAAATCATAACATCTTTTTCACATGTCATGGCCATTTTGTTAAAGTGGTCTAATTCCTGAAAAATCTGTCAATTCTCTAAAGTAACTAGCCAAAGGCCGCCCATTCTACTAAGATGTGAAGCTTTCTGATTTAATGAGTAAATTCTAGCCTCATCATTCTCATCAAAATAAGCAGTCTTAAAAGCATCGCAGATCTCTTTAGAAGTTGACAATCGAATATAACGTTTCATGATCTCTGGCTTCATTATTGACAAGAGCCACACTACAAGAAAACATGGATTAGGTGACGACATTTTATGTGACGCCTATAAATTCATCACATTTTAGTATAATAGGTGAGGAATTTAAAAAATGCGTCACATACATACTACTGTGGGATACAAAACAATTTTGGAATGTTGTTCGTCACATAGCAAGCCTAAATTCCTCACATATTTTGCCGCCCAATTGTTTTCACTTGGTGACGAAAAGCTTGGGTTCTTCACATAACCTAAGATTAGGTGACCTAGGTATGTGAGAAAAGTCAATTCATCACCATTTGTTTTACTAAAGGCAAAGGGAAAAAATTTAAAAAAACTAAAAACATAAAAACAAATCCCCAATTAGAACTCATCTATTCTACTTCCACCTCACTTCGTCTCTTAGTCTCTCAACTTTGCCGATGATGGATTGTTGGTAGCCATGACTGCATCGCGCTTTCGTCTTCCTCAAACCTCAGCTGCTTGCTCTTGTACTCTACTCTCTTTGATTTAAGAAAACCTAGTTTCTCAGCTATCATTTCTCCCAATTTCTTCTCAAAAGGTACTCAAATCTTTCTCTGTCTATTGAAATTACTGCACTTTTCTTGATTTCTCTCTTATAAATTTGTCTCAACTGTGAAAATTTGAAATTTTGCTTAAATGGGTCTATGTTATTCATTATTTTCCCAGATGGGTCTCTTTTGTTTTCTCCTACATTTGATAATTTAGCTCTTGTTCTTGTGTTTGTGTGTCTGTGTTTGTTGTTTTACTTTCATGCTTAGGATGGCCTTTGCCAGATGGTATTAAGGATGAATCAATCAAAGTGGGTTACACGATACAAGGTCATATATTTAGTGGTTCTTGAATCGATTTGCCTTTTAGTTAAGTTGATGATGATACTTTATCTATGTTTACAAGTTATGATGAACAAATTTTTGAAATATCAGCACAACGCAAGTTTAATATATATATATATATATATGGTCCTTACTTGATATTAGATGCATTGTCTTAGAGATTTTTCTTGCATTGTTATGGAGTAGGTTTTTCGCTTAGTGTGAGACAGACCAAAATCTTCTTATTCAAGTGTTATTTAAGTAAGAGGGATTGACCAGTTGATGAACTTTGTTGGGGAAAAGTCTGATGGTATGTTTTTGAAATGTAAAATGATATTTATGAGAGCATTTAGAATATGGAGCATGATTTTTGTCGACTAATTAGTACTATTAGATTATATGAGGTCACTGATGTTGCATATTGATGCTGCATATGTCTATTACACGATATGGGGTGACTGATGTTGCATATGTATATTAGACAATATAAGGTGGCTGACGCTGCTAGATTTTATGTTTCCTCTTTCCATGGGATTCTATATTAAGTCTAATCCCTTAATTTGAGGAAGATTGACATCTAGATGACTTGTTGATAGTTGGTTGCTAGCTACTTGTTGTACTCCCTTAATTTAAGGAGTGACAACTTTAGGGTTTATCGGGTTAGTAGGATTTGCCAAGGTAGGGTTGCTTGTAACCTTCTACCTCATTATATATCCCCCTCGTACATTCAATCAATCTATGAAAAATACATTCAAACAAACATAAAATTTCCACAGGTACACATTTGTCTTTTAAAGTTAATATAGGGATGGGAGTGGAGTATTTTTCAAGTAGAACTTATAGAATCTGTAAGAGTATTATGTGAAAACACAAATATCATCAGCTTATAAAAATGCAGGGGAACACCTGTTTAGTTTCTTTTGTGTCTTGCAAAAAATTTGAAATATCTCGTTTCATTGTTCGAAGAATGGTTACTTTCTTCTTTAGCTCTTGTTCTTGTGTTTATGTGTCTGTGTATTTGGAATTGCTTTCATGCTTGGGATGACCTCTGTATTTGTTTATTTCATCTGTCAATGTTTATTGAATTGTTGCCATGGGATTTGAAAAGACTTTCATTGTACTTGTTGTTTTTTTAATCTTCAAGAAGTGTTGGATTTGTTACTTAATAATAGGGTTAACGTGGCACCAAGCGGATATGGTTCCTTGTGAGCAACTTACATTGACCATGTTCACTGTCGCATGGTGTTCAATAATACAATTCCATGTGTAAGTGGCAGTGAACCCTTCCATTTAAGTCTTTCTCCATGTTTAGGAAAAAGGTTTGGTAGTTGCCTTTTCTTTATCTCATGATTTGGAGGATCACATATTTTGGAGAGGATATTAAACTACTTGTTTATAGTGTATATTTTTCTTAGTTTAGAGAAACAAGATATGTTTTGGTAATGTTTTTAAACAATTTTTCTGTTGTAAATGTACCAAACACTTTCTGAAAAAGCTGTTCAGCATAACACCTTGTGCAGAGTCCCCAATTTTAGGCTACATATATGAGAGAATATAACGTAGAAGTTTTTTAATTTCTCAACATTTTGTTTTATATTAAATGATCAAATGCATGCTTGCAAGATGTTGCTATCAAATATGTTGTTAATTAGTTTCCCATGAGAATAGACTAACTTATTTGTCTTCGTGTACAAGGTGAAGATGAAGAGTTAAAGATCAACTGGAGAAAAGTGGGTACAACCAGCTTGTTCGAATTTGGGTTTGTCGGCCCTGTTGGCCACCTCTGGTAAGGAATTTTTTTTTGGTGGAATAGATCATTCTAAGTATGTGCAGAGAAACCCCGAAGTAGAAATCTCACTCGTGTTATTAGGGTAGAAGATTTTTCTATTTTTGTTGTTTAATTAAATTTTAGGATGATGCCATCGACATAGCCCATAAGATCATGACTAGAATATAGGCTAACCACAGCGGATGGTTAGTCCCATCTAGTTTGATGTTCACAATAGTAGTCATGTAGGAAGACATATTTGCAGTAGGGACTGCACGTGAGGGGTTAATCTGGGACATGATGGGTAGAAAAAAAAATAACTTCTGTCGTTGGACTTGTAGGGCTCGGAGTACGATAAAGAACTAGAGAATCACAGAAGATTATAAAAGTAGAAACTCGCAGGAAACTAAAAACAATGAACAAGGTTTTCTTCAATGGTTTTGCATACCCTTAATAATGTAGGGTGCTATGTATTTATAATTCAAGACAGATTACATCAGGGTTTTGAAAATCCTATTTACAAGCTACAATTCAAAATTCAAAATCACCACCAGATTAAAAGGTGGAAGTTGTTGATACACAAAATCGGCGAGGACTTTGGTACAACAGAAAGTGTGAAGTTTGTGACCTTCGCTAGGTTGCTCTGGTCATTAGTGTGGATAAGTATGTAAATGAATAGAGACAGAGAAGCAAATAACATAAGATGTATCGTGGTTCACCTCAAGTTGAGGATACGTCCATACTGGTGTTGATTCTGTTTCACTATGTAAATGTGTGGATTACAATGGACAAGCAAGGGAGCTCTCTGTGTGCGGCCCTTTATGCTTCCCTTTGTTGTCTCCCCCCCTTAAGTGAGTGTGAGGGAGCCCTTTTATAGAATAAGGGTTTCCTCCCTTCTTACATGAATCATGGGCTAAGTAATGAAGCCCAAATACTGAAGCCCAATATATGGTATAACAGGAGTCCCCCAAGTCTTCAGTCAAGAGAGTCTTTTGGCTGGAGACTTCAAATTCAATCCATGTGCGGGCCGAAGTGACTAGATGTCGTCTAGAACTAGTACTCGACTTAAGACGGTGCTTAACGTGAAGCAATACTCAGCTAGAGGTAGCATACGTTGCAAGGCTGCTCGTCTAGAGGCAATGCTCGCGGCGAGGCGGTTGCTCGGCTGGAGGCGATGCTCATTGCGAGGCGGCTCGGCTTGTGGCGTTCTTCATTGTGAGTATGCACTCGACGTCAGCGTGAGCTCATTATGAGTTAACTTTTGACATGACTCGGGTCCGCTTGTCGAGTTCGCATATTGGGTATATGTGTCGGATCCGCGGATCGGGTCCACAAGTCAGGTCTTTGAGTCGGGGCCATACGTAGGGTTTTTCAGTTGGGTCCACAAATTGGGTCCGTGAGTTGGGGTTCGAGCTCAAGGGTGTCCAAGTTTGACGGTGTCTATCTCGTAAGTGCCCGAATGAATGGGTGTCCAAGCTCGCGGGTGTCTAAGCACATAGGTGTCCAAATGAGCGAGTGTCCGAGGAAGTGGGTGTCCGGTCAGACAAGAGATTACTGTTTAGACTAAATCTTTGTCACCATAAGAATGTGGCTTATCGATCTATAAGTTGGTAGGCTTCTTTAATTAGTGACAATGTTGATCAATAGAGCTAGTTGCTCAATAATTCTTGACAATAAATGACAGTATAAGTATGAACGCATAATGAATAAATCAAATCGACAAAGTTTGTCAAGGCAAAAAATTGTACTATGTGCCTACTATAAATAAATAATTTATTAAGTTGTGTGGTAAATCCCATGTTGCATAAGTGACATAGTTAAAGGCATCACATATCACTAGGCAATGAATAAATATTTGCACAAGTAATTGACTATGTAAATTCGTGTGATCACTAGTGAAATACGAGTTACAAATTTGAAAGGCATTCCAAGCATGGTAGCGTGTAGCAAAAGGAACGTGTAAATATATATAACTTGGTATATTGTACCGTGCCATGAATCACCAAAGTTATGTCACCTTAACATTCAAATAAATAAGAAGTGTAATTTGGTCAGACTTGCTACGTGTTATGGGAAATAGTCAGGTGATAAACCATTAATAATAATGTAAAACATATTATTATAACATGTCCTCTCTTTCATTTAGACAATCATGTTGGCGTTTCCACTATTTTTGTCAAAAAGCAACGCCTGCTGTTCCACTTGATACTTTTCAAAAAGCAGTTTCTCCTTTCAAAATGATGATAAGGTGATAAGGGTCTCGTGGTGCAAATATAATAGTAATAAAATAATGATAGTAATAATAATAGTATTTGATGTGACCCGGTATAATAAGCACACAGCAGTAGTCATGTAGCCTTAATATAATGACAATGGGGACGCACTGTTTATATATATATATATATATATATATATATATATATATTGTGATGTGCCGCACTATGTATACACAGATCATAAAAACAAATAATATATTGCTAATTGTGCACTAAAATATAAGTGTGATATAAGTGATGTGGTCTCCTGTTAAAGAATATACACAGTTGTAAAGCAAACGCTGCAGTAACAAGACCAACACAAAATAATAATAAATTATTAAATAATAAACTAGTTAATGAATTAGAAGAAGACTTATCTTTTTCGTTGGTTTTCCACTGGTAGTCGTGGCTAGTTTGCAGCACCTTCGTCGATTCTCGACAAATTTTCCCAAACTGGCTTCACCTGGGTTGAGTGGGGAACTGACAGTCCGAGTCCCCCGATTCTAGGATAGCGGTGGTGTTGCAAGGAGACGGAGCGAAAGCCCCCAATTGCGCATGGCGGCCGCAAGAGAAATTTCCAACGGTGCGACGACTGTGGTTTTGTATGAGTTTCGTAGATCGGTCCATTTCACCCAAATCACAGTCGTGAGAGGGAAGTGGAGTTGTGGTGGTGGATGCCTCGTGGTTGAGGCTACGGTGCCGAGTGAGATGTGGATGTTGTAAGGGCTAATGATGCTGGTCAATTACAGCGTTGGTGCTTTGGCTGGATTGATGATCAAGATTGTTACTTGTATTATTGCCCGCTTTAGGCTTTTGTGGTTGTTCTTGGACTTTGGCCTCCAACTCCTCAACTTTTGATTTGAGTTGATTGATGTACGCCACGGCATCGGCAAGCAAAGAGGACCTGTCCATTTTGGACACATTGGGAATAACTGACCGGAGGACACATAATCTGTGGTTGAGTTTCTCCCTCCTCTGTTTCTCGGCCTCAACGTGGTTTGACAATTGTGATTGTCTACTTGCAGCTCTATTGTTTGATGACCTTCCTCGGTTTTTTGATCGAGTCTTGCTCTTAGTATTCTTGGAGGTGAAATTACCAACGGAGTAAGAAGGTGATTCTGGTACGGTGGACAATGGTGAGGTTGTGAGGGTTTCACGGTGATGAGATGAAAAATTGAAAGAGAACTGACATAGCTTTTCGTGTCAATTCCCACAGACGGTGCCAAATGTTGATGCACAAAATCGACGAGGACTTTGGTACAACAGAAAGTGTGAAGTTTGTGACCTTCGTTAGATTGCTCTGGTCATTATTGTGGATAAGTATGTAAATGAATAGAGACAGGAAAACAAATAACACAAGATGTATCGTGATTCACCTCAAGTTGAGGCTACGTCCACACTGGTGTTGATTCTGTTTCACTATGTAAATGTGTGGATTACAATGAACAAGCAAGGGAGCTCTCTGTGTGCTGCTTTTTATGCTTCCCTTTGTTGTCTCCCCCCCCCCCCTTAAGTGAGTGTGAGGGAGACCTTTTATAGAATAAGGGTTTCCTCCCCTCTTACATAAATCATGGGCTAAGTAATGAAGCCCAAATACTGAAGCCCAATATATGGTACAACAAAAGCTAATCACAGTAATTTTTGAAAAACAAATATTCAAAAATATAAAACCTATCCAACATAGAACTGTTGACCGAGTAACAACTTAAGAGTTTCTTTTGGATGAGGAGTCAGGACTTAGTCTTACAGTTGATATATATTTCTAAATTAGGGTTTACAATGTGGGTGTGAATACTTAGATGGCATGCTTTATTTTAAAAAAAAAAAAAAAAATTATTGTAGTTAGATGGATTCGAATGCTTGATGGTCTGCTTTCTTTGTTTTAACATCTTCCTGATCTTGAATTTCCAGTTATATGAAATTCATCTTTGCTATATTATATGCCTATCTTTGCTTTCTTTGTTTTATTGACATTCATCTTTGCTATATTATATGCCTATCTTAACAAAAAAATTTAAATTTTTATGGCAACCTATTAGAATATATCAAAGTTTGCGCCTAATACTAGTATTGAAGTGATCTAAATTTATGGATAGACAATGAATTCATTGTCGAAATCGCCCTAGTTCCGAGTATAGAAAAGGGGTCCAATCATTCATTGACATTGCTTGTCACCATGTGAACCAGAATAATCAGATACTATGTCCTTGTAAAGTTTGTCATAACATATTTTTTCACTCAATTGAAGATGTTCATCTCCATTTATTGAATTCTGGTATGGACATGAATTATGATATATGGATAAATCTTGGTGAGCATATTAATCAAGTGCAAGGAAAGCCTTCAATGTCTACGAACAATGAGCTGATCAATAATTCTAATGTCAACATGTTTAATATGATGGATGATGCATTTGGAAGAATGCATGATGATGATGATGATGATTAAGATACAATGGGGGTCCAAGATACCATGTGGGGCAGAGATATGACCAATGCTCTTAGGGTAGATGCTAATACTTATGATATGTTGCTTCGTGAAGCTCAAAAGGAACTATACCCTGGATACAATCAATATACAGTTTTGTCTTATGTTGTGGAGTTAATTCACAACAAAGTTGATAATCACATGACAAACAAGGCCATTGATAAGATGCTAGCAATGATGAAGAAGATGTGTCTCAAACCAAACAGTGTTCTCGAATCGTTCCATGAGTGCAAGAAGATATTGAAAAGTCTTGGATTGGGGTGTGAAAATATACATGCTTGCTATTATGATCAGTGGATTGTTCTATAAAGAACATGAAAAGAAAGATAGATGTCCAGTTTGTAATGAGCCAAAGTATAAAGATAGTCATTATGAGGAAAGAAAAAAGGTTCCAAGAAAAGTGTTACGATATTTTCCACTTAAACCCAGGCTACAAAGGTTGTTCATGTCGAGACATACAAGTCAAGACATGAGGTGGCACAAGGAAAAAGAGTTAATGATCCGAACATAATTAGACATCCAACAGACTCTATCACATGGAAAGAATTTGACCAAATGTACCCTGATTTTGCTCAAGACCCACAAAATGTCAGATTGGGCCTTGCAAGTCACGGGTTTACTCTATTTTCAAATATAAGTAAGTTGTACAGTATGTAGCTAGTTGTTATATTTCCATATAATTTGCCCTCTTGGAAATGCATGAAAAAACCATTCTCTTTTTAACCTTGTTAATTCCTGGGCCAAAAGCAATTGGAAATGAGATTGATGTCTATGTGTGCCCATTAGTTAAGGAATTGTGGAAAAATGGCTTTCAAACTCAAGATAAGATGACTGGGAGTACATTTAATTTGCGTGGAGCTATTATGTGGACCATTAATGATTTTCTCACTTACGGAAATTTATCAGGTTGGAGCACTCACGGTCAGTTAGCATGTCCGGTGTGCAATGAGAATGGATCATACACCAAGTTGAGAAGTAAGTATTGTCATATTGGACATTGTCACTATTTACCTATAAATCATTCATGGCGCAAAAATACTCAACTGTTTAATGGTCGTCAAGAGATGCCACGAGAATTCTCAGGCGATGATATACTTGATCAATTTGATTAGCTTGTACCCTGTAAGTTTGATAAACATGATAGCAATAAGGATAGGAAGAGGAAGCGGAATGCTGAAGAATTAAATTGGACAAGGAAGAGTACTTTTTTCGAGTTGGAATACTGGTCCAAATTAAAGATTAGGCATAATCTTGAAGTTATGCATATTGAGAAAAATATATTTGATTATTTAATCGGGACATTGCTGAATATGAGGAAGTCAAAGGATACCCTTAAGGCGATGATGGATTTACAAGACATTAATATCAGGGAAAGTTTGCATTTGAAACTAAATGCAAGTAATATATTTGATAAGCCTTTGGCTCAGTATGTATTCAAGTCATCTGAGCGTAAAGATTTCTTGCACTGGTTGAAATCAATTAAATTTCCAGATGGTTATGCAGCATATATATCTCATAAAGTTAGTGTGGATGAAGAAAGGTGTTTGGTTTGAAGAGCCATGATTGTCATAAGTTGATGCAACGTGTGCTTCCAGTGGGAGTTAGAAAACATTTGAAAAAGCAAATATATGGCCCACATATTGAGTTGTCAAGTTTCTTCCAACAAATATGGGCAAAGACACTGATTGTATCTGATCTTGATAAGTTGGAAGAAGACATTATCCTCATATTGTGCAAACTAGAGAAAATATTCCCGCCTGCATTCTTTATTCCCATGGTTCACTTAACAATACTTAACAATGCACTTACCACATGAAGCAAAATTGGCAGGACCAGTCGAATACCGATGGATGTATCCTGTAGAAAGGTAAAATGCCATCAGGTTTACTTTAATTGCATTAAGTGTGTCTTTCTACATACTGATAATTGTTCATTTACTAGACTGTTGGGCTCGTACAAGAAATTTGTACGTAACAAAGCTCGCCCTGAAAGCTTTATTGTGGAAGCACGCTTGGCGTACAAGTCCTCAACTTTTGCTCAATGTATTTGTGTGATGTTAAGACTCCATTCACTCGACCAGAAAGAAACGATGACGGTTGTGATCCCAATGTGTTGCTCTCAGTGTTTGCACAAAAAACACGTCCATTTGGAGCTCATGTATTGGTTGGACTTTCAAGGGAAGATATAGAAGTGACATATTGATATATCTTAGACAATTGTGAAGAAATAGAAGCCTTCAAGAGGTATGCGATAGTAATGGTTTTACATATATTGAAATTGTGGAAATTTTAAGTTTGTTTGAATGTATTTTTTTCATAGATTGATTGAATGCGCAAGGGGGGATATATAATGAGATAGAAGGTTACAAGCAACCATACCTTGGCAAATCCTACTAACCCGGTAAACCATAAGGTTGTCACTCCTTAAATTAAGGGAGTGCAACAAGTAGCTAGCACACAACTATCAATAAGTCATCTAGATGCCAATCTTCCTCAAATGAAGGGACTAGACTTAATAGAGAATCTCATGGAAAGATGGAACATAAAATCTAGCAGCATTAGTCACCTCATATTGTCTAATATCCATATGCAGCATCAGTTACCCTATATCGTCTAATATCCATATGCAACATCAGTCATATGTAGTATCAGTCACCCTATATTGTCTAATAGAAATATTTATAATTCTACAACTTTAACTTATATATATATTTTTTATGTATGCAGTGAGCATATCCAGATTTTGGAAAGAGATAATCATGTCAATGTACAACTGAGACATAAACAGTTGTTTCTTGAATGGTTTAGGCAGATGGCCACGTCATTGTATTATCAAGGACCTAGATTGGTGAGTGAAAATTTTTTTTCATTAGCCCAAAGTCCGGATCGATGTACTATCCAATACATAAGTTGTATTGTGAAGAACATTCGCTATTTGGTCGCACAAGTTGATCAAAATTGTACAACGCAGAACAGTGGGGTAATGACGCCATGGTCGCATAACGGTGAACCACGTAACTTCTATGGCAGATTGATTAATGTCATTAAAGTACAATTTATAAGAAGTTATAAGGTGATTCTTTTCAAATGTTAATGGTACAATATAGATACCAGAGGAAAAAAATTTATTCAGGATTATCATCTTACATCAGTCAATGTAAATAATTGCTGGTACGATAATGATCCATATGTGCTAGCTAGACAAGCACTTCAAGTATTTTACATTGATGACTTAAAGTTAGGTCATCCTTGGAAAGTTGTGCAGAAGATTCAACATAGGCATGTTTGGGATGTCCCTGAGAAAGATGATGATAATGTGGACCATGATAATGATGAAGACAATGATGATTATGTAGAAGAAAATGAAATTTTCATGAGACCAATCCTGAACGAGGATGATGAAGTTAATATTGAATTATCTAGAGATGATGTTGATTCTGAATCTTTTGATGCTAATGACAAAGAGGTGCGAAGAATGTTAGGGCTAGAGAAGGAGGAGGAGGAGGAGGAGGAGGACGGAGGAAGGGGTTGCAACTTGTGACACATATAGTGATTGATGATTATGGTGAGATCTGTACATTATAAATCAATATTTATATTCTCCAATAGTCTATTTGCTTATATATTTACTAATAGTCATATTATTTATAACAAATTAATGTTTATTATTATATGGTTATAATGATTTATCTATTATGTTAGTCTCTTACATATTATTATTTTTTTTTTTAAATTTATTAGATGACAACTCCTACTCAACGAGGAAAGAGGGTGAAACGGGTGAGGGATGCCCCACCTCCACCTCTGCCACCACCACCTCTTCTGCCACCTCTGCCACCACCACCTCCTCCACCACCTGTTTCTTCACCGGAACAGCTAGCAGACATAAGCTTAGGTATTTGAGAAAGGCTACTTACAATTCTTTCAACATTTTTATTTTGGAGTTGATCTTTTAATGCTATTTTAAACAAGTTATAAAATTAATCAAACGCATATATTCTTTTTAATTTTTAGAGACAAATTTTAATTTTAATGCCAAAAAGATGACACGTGGAAAGTCATGTGGGAAAGGCCTCCACGATATTTTGGAGGCAAATAATGGGAAGAAGAAGCCAGTCATATTTGATTTCAAACTTCAAGTTCCAAGTGATTTGGTAGTATCAAGTTTTTTCACTACCGAGATAGGGAATATTATTCGGACTCACTCGCCAGTTTGCTACAAGAAATGGATGAAGGTCCTATCTTCATAAAAGAGGACACTGCGGAATAAGTTGCTTGTGAGTTTGATTTTAATTTAGTTTGTTCATAATAATTTCAAGCACTCACTTATATATATATATATATATATATATGATTGATAATATAGGTATTATTTGTGGTGGACTTATCTCATCCAAAGATAATTGAATATGTTGATAAGAAGATGGCGAAGTTGTACTATGTGTTTAGGCACCGGTTGTATAAGTACTACTTGTCATGTGGAACACCTGCAAGAGGACAAGCTAATCTACCAAATGATCGGATATGGAATGAGAGACCTAAGAGTCACTGGGACTGGCTATGCGATAATGTTTACACTACTACACACTTTTTGGTATACATTCTATACATCATTTTCTAATATATGTCCAAGTTAGATGCCAACTTTTTCTTATATTGTTGAACAACAATTTTTTTATCGCAGGTTGATTTTGTAATAAATGGAATGAGCATAGAACAATGCTTTTATATATATATTAAAAGTTAATATATAAGCATATATTAACTTTTATATGTATTTATTGGTATTAATATATATAAGCTTGTGATAAATAATCGAATGCAGGGCTTGTGATAAATAAGCTATACTTCTTCACTAGTGAGCTTATATAATAAATATACACCAACCTGAAATGTAGAACTAAAAGCAATGAATAGCCTAATAAATGCAAACAAGGTCTGCATTAGCAGAGCTCATTATATATATATATATATAATGAAGAGCTTGTACATGTATGTTATTGATAAATAAGCTTTGCTTCTTCACAAGGTTTTACATGTATTTTATTGGTATTTGACATAATCAAATGTAGACCTTGCTTGCATTTATTAGGCTATTCATTGTTTTTAGTTCTACATTTTAGGTTGGTAAAATTTGAGAACGTCTACAAGAGAACGAGAGCAAAAATCATTGGACATTGTGTTTATGAAAATTAGATTCTAATTGATTGGAGAAGATGTTAGATAGTGGTATTCTATTGCATTCAAACAAATATGTACAACTCAAATATATGAATATGTATAAGTTTAGGAGGTAGGAGCTTCCCAAATTGTACACCTTTACAATACTAACTCTTCATTTGCTTGTTATGTACCACTTGTGTAATGTAGGAGCTTTCAAAGCAAAATGCTAATAATAGGAAGAAATTGAAGTATCACCACAAAGGAGGAGCAAGGCCATTCATCCAACATGCTAGGACAACTCACAAGTTAATGAAACTAAAGTACTTATAATACTTATTAGCACTCTCACGTTTGTATCTTCATTATTAAACAGAAAGTAGATTCATTATCAGTGATTGACAATTGGGGTGCTCTTCACAAAGATAAGAATGGCCAGTGGATCAATGATGTTGCTCGAGAAAAATATGTAAGTCATTCATAGGCCACTCATTTTTTGTCATTTCAAATGCACTGGAGATTAAAATTTTACAATTAACAAGACACAACTTAAGAAACACAGTTGAAATGAACATACAAAATTGACACGATACTATTGGTTTGTCCTACCAATATATCTTATGCTAACTTTGTGTTTGTTACTTGTTGAGAAAAACATTATATGTGCCTAGTCCAATTTAATCCATAGTCAAATAGAAACTACAAATCATGTTTACATACAGGTTTTGCATGGTGATTTGCTTCTGCATCAGATAAGGATAACATACAAGTGGTCAAGTTGTGTTTTCTTAAGCATATTATAGCTAAAATGTTTGGAATGAAAGAAACTAAATTGTTTCTATTTAATTATGAAAGGATAACATGAAGAAAATAAAGGATGAAATGAGGGAGAAACTGATCTAAGAAGCACATGAAGGTACACCATCAGATTCCGTACATGTGCCATTGGATGATGAGTTTGGAATCATGGCTGAAAACCTCGAGAAGAAGGGAAAATCAATTAATGGTGTAAGTGTTTTTCCTCTTACGGATACCTCTGGTTGTATTTCTTCTATGGCATCAAGTTTCGAGTTAACTGATATGAGATCTCAGATCAAGCTTTTGTCAGATGGTTTCCTCAAATTGCAACAAGAGAATGAACAATTGAGAGCTCAATTGAATTTATGTAATGATGATGAAAATTTGTTCACAAAAGTCAAGGCATTTATTGCTACAAGTTAGGAGAAGACCAAAAACTCTATAGAATCTGATGGTAATATTTCAGAGGGTGAAAATACTTATCCTAAGCTGGAAGAACATGATTTGGAAAAGGAATGATGTCCATGTTGTGTCTTTTGCGGTTAGTTTCAAGTATGCAGATGGTACCACTCTTCTGTTAGCATATGGAACACCTTTTTTGCTAATTAGCACCTAAATGTGCCTTGGACTTGTCATTTGTTAGTACCCAAGATGTCTATATATAAATGTTACTACTCTTGATTGTTCTAGCTTAGACTGCTCTTTTGTTGGTACCTCAAGCTGTCGTTTGTTAGGCACCTCAAGCTATCTTTTGTTAGGCACCTCAAACTCTTTTAAACTTCTATTTTGAGATAGGTCACCATGACATTAATTTTTGGGATGTACATTTGGTGAATGTATTCGACTTATGTGTTTTAATCGTCCATTAATGAAAATGTGAAGTATTACCTTATAATTGTTATGAACTACAATTATAGATTACGAAACAGGAAAAACAATTAGTTCGTCGTTATTATTTCTAAAAAGGTATTTGATTGAAACATATATGATGTAAGTTGCACCACATATCAAAGGAATATGTGACCTTTTCAGCGTCGCTTAGTGTAAACTGTATCATCTAGTATCATATTGGATGACTACAAAATCATCATTTATAAACCTGATACGAGACGAAAAAATAGGTCACTTAATTTTGTATTTGATGATGTATAATTCATCACACATATTGTTATTAAGTGACATAATTCGTCACACATATGGTTAATTTGTGATGTATAATTCGTCACACATATTGTTATTAAGTGACAAATGTTGTGTCACGTATACTGAAAAAATGTGGCGAAAATAAAATTCGTCACATGGACTATAGGTGATGCTGTATAGGTGACGCAATTGGTGACGCTAGAATTTCGTCACATATAGTCAAATGTGACAAATTTTCTTGTTTATGTGACGAATGTCTGTCGCCACCTAAGTCATGTTTTCTTGTAGTTCCAACTTTTAATTCTCTGATCTTCAAAAAACCAATCATCATATTTGGGATCATCCTCTGCAAGGGCTTTAATGGACCCACAAAGATATTCCATCTTCTTCCTTCCAGCAATATGAATTTGAATAACAGGAGCCCATAAAACATAGTTCTTCTCATCCAAAACAATCTTAATGTTGAAGCTTTAATTGTCCAACTGAATCATGATCGAAGCGGTAGTAGAAATGATTTAGTTGTTCTCGGCAGACATCTTTCATGAAGAATAGGAAACCTATGTAGCGGTAAAGGTACACAGGGTAGCAACAACACACGTTGCTCACTGGAATTCGAGGTAGAAGATTGGGACACAGCAACAACTTCACGTTGCTCGCTGTTCGTCAGAGGCACCACGGTGGTGCTGGGCACGACACAGTAACAAACCCTATTAGGGTTCGAAACTTTCTTTCCCTTTTTTACGACTTGGCTTTGGTGCCAAGAAAAGAATGCTTTGAATATGTTCATTGTATTCTTCTCATTTTAAGGTATATATAATCATGTACAATCATACTACAATAAGGAAAGAATAATTACAATCAATCTACAATCTAAACTAGGAAACCGAATATTATAGGAATTCCAGAATTATTGGGAAAATATTATACAAGTTAACATAAAGAAAGCTAAAGTACAAGCACACTAATTCAATGTTTGTCAACAATTCATCAGAAGTTCAAAGAAAACATCCGTATGCTCCTATTCATAGGTTGGATAGAATTCAAAAAATTGGAAAATGATCTACTATGTCATAGGAAAATAGAAAACTCAAACTTCACTGACCATATGGATTTAAGCTGTACTAAAGATGGTACAAGCACAATTGTTCATGATAAAGTAAAAGATGCCTACTCTTTAGGAGATAAAGATGCTTCAAAACTTTCTACAGCTAAGCATGGACTTTCAAATCCCAAATTGAAAGAACCAACCTATGAGGATGTTGTTAACCAAAAATGCACTCGGTTGACGTCAGATGTAGTTTCTGATATTAGGAAAGAAACTCCTACTTGTAACGATACCACCAGGACTCCTGCTACCGATGATGCGATTCTTAATGATGTTGAACAAGATCAACCTATGTTTAACATCAAAAAGGAGTCTCCCACCCCACAACCACTTCCTGGAACAGGTATTGATGCAATTTTTTGAGTTTATTAAGCAATATATCATGAAATGAGTAACATTTTTCTGAAGATATAGTAGATGAGGATTTAATTTTGTTTTTGTTATTTCTCTTCAAAATACAGGGGATGCATGTTTTTCTGGTGACTTGTTTGGGAATGATGGAACAAACAGGTTTTTAGGTAAATGGTGCAAGCGGAATCTGAATAAGGGATCAGAATCAAGGCAAAACTCAAGTGCAGATTCTAGTAATTTAATTGATGTAGGAGCTGACGGAAGAGGTGGTAGAATCAAAGTTCATAGATCACTGAATCATTCAACAGTGATGGGTTCATGTGCTTGTTTTCATTCTATTTGTTCACATCTCAAAATATTTGTACCTACTCAAGAGTGATTCATTCGATGTTGTTGGAAATGTTAAGCATGTAGATATGTTTACTTTTGCAGGACAATAAGGAGAATGCATCGGGGACAAAGCGGTTCAAGTCAGGGTCTATGACAAACAGTGTTCAATCCCAAGGGTGCTTGCAAATAGAACACTTCGTTGGGAGGGATGGTAGATGATCAAGCATTCAAAGGTACGTCTACTTATGGGTTTGCAATGTTGAGATGTATGATTCTGTTGTGGAGGCTGGGAGTTAGGAGAGAAAGCAAAAGTTCATATGTTATGCTTTGTCCATGTGAATTGTGAAGAGTAACAAATGATTG